TATTATTATTATTATTATTATTATTATTATTATTATTATTATTATTATTATGATTATTATTATTATTATCATGATTATTATTATTCTTACTACTAATATGGTTGTTTTTGTTATTGTTATTAGTTTTGTTTTCGTTATTATCATATTATACGGAGTAATTACAATTAAAATTATAGAAATAAATATTATAGTTATTATTAAAATTTAAATTATAATTATAGAAATAAATATAACTATAAATTTAATTACAATTATAATTATAACTATATTTATAACTAGTGTAATACGTATGATAATAATTATACCTATTATAATTATGTTTGTAATTATAATTATAATTTTTATAATTATGATTATAATTATGATTATATTTAAATTATATATGTGTAATTACATTTATAATTATATTAATTATAATTGTAATTATAATTTTAGAAATATTCAAATCAGATCAGATCAGATCAGATCAGAAAGATTCAGATCAGATCAGAAGGATTCAGATCAGATCAGGAACATTCAGATCAGATCAGGAAGATTCAGATCAGATCAGAACTTAAAAAATTCAGATCAGAAACATTCAGATCAGGTGAAGAGAACAGCTTCTTAACTAGTTTAGTAAATGCAAAATTATGATAAAGGGATTTTGGGATTTTTTTTTAAACTTAAGTCAATTGAAATTCTACGTACTAATGGTACTATCGTACTACCAGCCCGTTTGACAACACTCTTTTTCGGCTTATCAGGCTTATCAATCAACTTTTTCACCAAACAGGTAACTTTTGTTTTCGCGTGCTAGATTGTGTAATAAGCAGAAAAAGCAAGGTTGAATTTACTTTTCTGGCTATATTGGCTGAAGTTACCGTAGATGTCCATTTTAATTATTTTTACATATAAAATTTTCTTTGTTTTATTAATAAATATATTTTAAAATTTATTTTTTCTTAAATCAAGAGAATCAGCCAATGCAGCCACTTCAGCCAAAACTTCATAAATTTCAGCTGAATCAGCCAAAACTGCCGATTTTGGTGCTACCAAATAGGGTCTACCTATATTTTATGCAAATTAAATATCCTATATTAGGTAGTCACAGGCAAAATATGCATTGACGTGGGTGGGTACTAAGTGAATCAATATCCTTAAAACCACTCCTATTAAGAGCCCGTTTGGTAGCACCAAAATCGGCTGTTTTGGCTGATTCTGCTGAAATTTATGATATTCTGGCTGGAGTGGCTGTTTTGGCTGATTCTGCTGATTTAAGAAAAAAATATTTTAAAAATATATTTTATTAATAAATTAAAGAAAAAATTATATGTAAAAATAGCTAAAATGGTCCTCTACAGTAACTTCAGCCAATACAGCCAGAAAAGTAACTCCAACCTTACTTTTTCGGCTTATTACACAATTCAGCGCGCGAAAGTAAAACTTACGTGTTTGGTGAAAAAGCTGGCTGATAAGCCTGATAAGCCGAAAACAGAGTTCTCCAAACGGGCTCTAAGTGTGAAGTATTGATTCACTTTTAAAGCTTGCATTGACGTGTCACCACCATTGTAGTTGAGAAGATGCTATAGTACTATGAAAATAGTGAATTCTAATTCGCTTAATAGCATTGGAAATTAACTTGGACTTATTGTCTAACTTGTTGAAGGATAGATTCAATGCTATTATAAATTGAATCCTAATAGATCACTCTATAATGATTTAATGCAAACTTGCTCAAGGCATTTGTGATGTTCTTTTTAAAAGTTTATTTTACAAGTCAAGAGTTTTTGTTATTAATGGGGAATTTTAACTTTGCATCTCATCTTTTTTTGGTGATATTAAACTTTGCACCTTGTCCTATAATATTTTGTGAAGAAAAATTTCAGAATGAGGTTCAAAGTCAAATAATTTTTAAGGGAAATAGGTTGCAACTAAAGTCTAAGTTTTTTTAAATGGAGTGCAAAGTCAAAGACTTTTTAAGAAAATAAGGTGCAAAGTCTGAGTTAATACAACACGAGATAGTAAATATAGATATAAATATGCATGAACACTCGATTTTAACGTAGTAACTCGAAAGAGAGAAAATCACGGGACTGTTTGGACTAATGTCCAAGTCACTCATTTTATTAATCTTTCCACACCATTTACATTGTACAAGCTCCCACGAATGAGGGCTAAGTTTTAGAGAGAAGAAAAGTTGGGGGAAGAAGAAGCCAACCCTTAGCATGGAGGGAAAGCCCCATTTAAATAGGAAAAAGGGGAGGGTTGCAAAGCTACCCTAATGGACCAAAAGGGGATGAATGTGCCGAGTGGGCCAAACTAGGCCGCAAGGGCCGAAATGGGCCTCACCAGTCGGGCTTCGTATGGAGTAATAGTTTGACTCCCTGAACAATATTAGATCGTAATAATATATGTCAATAGTTTCTATATTTATATGACAAATTTGATTTTCGTACTCCATTCTCTATTTCAAAGTTTTAAAACAAAGTCTAGTCTAGACTAGTTTTATAATCTTTGACTAGTAAGTGGTGATTGTAATAAAGTAAAAACCAGATGTATATATACATAAAATAGGACGCAAATTAAATGGTAACCCTTGCTACTATGCTAGAATGTTGTATAAAAATTAATTAGGAGGCACAAGTTTAATATGGTGAACGCAAGAGTACACTCATGGCCTCATGGGCTAATTCGAATTTACACCCCATTTTTAAAAATCTTTATTTTTGCACCCAAACTGCTATTGATTTCACTTTTAAAGCTCTTATTAAGTGTCACCCCCCCATTCACCATTGTAGTTGAGAAGATTCTCTAGTGCTTCAAAATTAGTGAGTACTAATTCGCTTAATAGCATTGGAAATTAACATGGAGATATTGTCTAACTTTTTCAAAGAGAGATCACATAAATTGAATTCTAATAGATCAATGGATGTTTTTACTTGGACTATTTCAATCTTAGACCAGACAATATCATACTAGTTCAGATCAGACCAGAACAGACTTGAATAGTTATAAAATACACAGAGGGACATTTACCGGACTGGACCAGACTAGATCAGACTTAATCAGATCAGACTAGACCAGACTAGAAATTCTCAGTCCAAGTGAAAACATCTTATATAATGATGTTAAGACTAGAAGTTCCTTCTTAAAAGGTCAATTCGATAAAAGGGGAAGTCCAAGATCTTGATACAATGTATAATTGTTTTAGAGATATTCGGTGTGAAAACACAACAAATGATGAATGCAAATTTGGTTAAGGCATTTGTGTTGTTTTTTTAAAGGTTCTTTTTTGTAATTCAAGATTTTTGTTATTGTAGTTCATTTGAACTATTTTCATAATCTCCATGACTATCCTTGCAAAAAAAAATAATCTTCATGACTAGTAAGTGGTGATTGTAAAGTAAAAATCAGATACATATATATACATAAAACGGGAACGCAAATTAAATTGTAACCCATGCTATAATGGCACATTAATACTCCCTCCATCCGAGAAAGAATGTCCCACATTCCCAAAATAGATGTCGCTAAATCAAAGTCCTACTTCCAACTTTCTTATTTGGTAAATAAATCTATATCAAACAGTGTCAAGCGATGCAAAGCAATGTCAAACATTGTCAAAACGGTGCCAAACAACGACGCTACCGTGTGAATTTAAATTCATTTCCTTAATATGTGTGGAGTCAAACTAAGACATTGTTTTAGGGACGAGGGGATTATTAAATAGGGGGCACAAGTTTAATGTGTTGAACACAAGGGTAGAATTATGCAATGTACTCTGTATAGGATTGATTGAATCACCATTATTTACAACCTACCATGTGTTCTGTCGAGTCGGATCATAAGAAGGCTTTAAAATTGGAGATTCAACCTTTTGGACAAATGCAATGTACTCTATAAAATCCTATCCTTAGCCCAACAACTTTCCATAAAATGGATATTACAAAGATAGATATGTATCACTGACGTATTGACGTTGCCAACTAAGCCTTGCGTGTAATAAAAAAAATCATATCATATCCCTCCCCTCTATTACTCTCGTTTTTTTGTTCTCTGCCTTTCTCGTTTCTACCACCCCATATATTAATTCCCTTCTCTGTATAATACTACGTATTATTTGTAAGACATGTTTGGAATTGCTGTTATTTCTCGAGCCCTATATCATCGATCCAAGGTCAGTTTTGTATATTTGTATGCCTCAATCATCAATGTTCTAATCTTCACCTTTCCACCGCTCATATATGTCAGTGTGGTCAAATTGTTTAGCGTAAGTTTTATCTTAATTGTCACGTTTACTGTTAACAATGTACAAGTTTTACATGTGTGCATTACGAAGGACGAGTTTGCAGATTCTAACATCCGGTGTTCTTTAAAGAGAAAGGGGTAAATAACTTTTTGAACTATTTGCAATCCTGAAATCAGACTTGTGAATCGGAAGACTTTGCAAACACACTCCTCTGCTCATTCAAAATTAAGCAATCAAATCCTTTTTACCTGCCGGAGCAAATAATTTCTTATGAGAATGTTATCTCCTTATCTGCATTTGAGTAAAGGTTTATTTGAAAGTCTTCCCGTTCAAGAAGAATTGCAAAATTGTAGATAATTCGGGGACTTATCTGCCTCACTTCTCTTCTTTAAACCTGGCGAGAACCATTTTTTGGTTTCATGAAAAGCCACTTTTGTAGTGTTTGACATTGATAGGAATTAGGAAATTGGTTATAATAGACGTAGACGTATAAATAACAAAATTGGGAACTTCTTTTTAAGGAAAGGTCGCAACTCTGACATTTCTTCTGATCAAGTTCACAAATACGGAATATAACTTTTACTATTCCTAATAAACAAATAAAAGAAGCTATGCTCCGTATTGATTTTTGAATGGCAGTTTTCTAGTCAATAAGATTCAATATTGAATACATAAATGGCTCAATTCAATTGTATCATTACTGAGCTAATTAACAACTCAATCTTACTGAAGTTCAACCAATTAATGACTTGAATGTTGTTTGTGATTGTAGAATGGAATTCCAAACCTCACAGCTCATTTTGCCACATCTTCCTTAACCCCACCATCTGATCCATCTAACAAAGAACAAGTGGATATTGATTGGGAAAATATGGGATTTGGTCTGATTCCAACTGATTATATGTATATTTCAAAGTGCGCTAAAGATGGGAGTTTTGACCAAGGCAAACTCATCCCCTACGGAAATCTGGAAATTAGCCCAGCGGCTGGAGTGTTGAATTATGGACAGGGTATTTATGAAGGCACAAAAGCATTTAGAAGAGAAAAAGGGGGCATCTTTTTGTTCAGACCGGACCAAAATGCGATCCGAATGCAGATTAGTGCGGAAAGATTGTGCATGCCTTTCCCTTCTATCGACCAATTTTTGGACGCTGTAAAACAGATTGTGATGGCTAACAAGCGATGGGTAATGTTTTTCTCTAGTTCGCTAACCAAATCTAGTCCATTTTAATTTCAAAATAAGTAAGATTGAAATTAAATTTGCATATGAATTGATTAAGGGCCCGTTTGGTATCACTAAAATTGGCTGGATTAGCTGATTCTGCTGAAATTTGTGAAATTCTGGCTGAAGTGGCTTTATTGACTCATTGTGCTGATTCATGAAAAAATTATATTTAAAATATTTGTTATTAATAAGTTAAATAAAAAATTATATAACAAAATAGCTAAAATGATTCTCTACAGTAACTTTAGCCAATACAACAAAAAAAATAACTTCAATTTTACTTTTCCTGCTTATTACAAAATTCAGCGCGCGAAATCAAAAGTTACGTATTTGGTGAAAAATTGATTGATAAGCCGAAAAAATGGGTCACCAAACGGGCTCTAAAATTAGTGAATTGGACTACTTTAGTTGTATTTTCATATTTTTTTATTTTTATTAATAAGGTCTATTTTAATTATATATTTTTTCTATTTTAGCACATTCGGCCAATTCAGTCCTTTCAATCATAATTTTATGAATTTCAACAAATTTAACCAATTCAGTCGATTTCTGTATTATTGAATTGACTTGTACTGAATCAAATTGGACTCGGATTTGATACAAGTGGGATGAATGTGGATGAACTCTTATGTATGCATTAAAGCTAGTAAAAGTGTATACCAGTATAATGTAGAACCACCGCAGATACCTCCTCCAGGAAAAGGGTCTCTCTATATTAGGCCTATACTATTTGGAAGTGGACCGGTTCTTGGTCTGGCTCCAGCTCCCCATTATACATTTCTAATCTATGCCTCACCTGTCGGAAATTATTTCAAGGTTAGTATTAACAGTAACTTAATCCTTATGTCATAATTGCTCACTCAGGCTCTCAATTTCTAAAGTCAATTAGACACCCCTCAAGTTCTAATTATTTTCATTGTTCATTCTAATCTACATACTATTTCATTCAACTTCTTACAACTCCCAAACATCATCATAATTATAGGTCACAAATAATACTTGTCACAAACAATGGGTTTCAACCAAAAAATAGCAATTTTCCTTTTTTAGAGTTTTGGTAATTTTCCCTAGTATTAAATTTGTAATATGCTAATAATAGGTCCGACCTGATACACAGGAGGGAGTGGCACCTCTGAACATATACATAGAGGAAGAGTTCCACCGCTCCTCCAGAGGTGGATCCGGTGGTGTGAAAAGCATTACTAACTATGCACCGGTACGTGTCTATATCATTAATATTTGTGAATCCCAAATTTCCTCATTTAGCTCTTCTAACTTTTGGAATACACTTCATTTGAAGTAAGGATGTTTTTACTTGGACTGTAATTTGCTGGTCTGGTCTGGTCTGGTCTGGTCTGGTAAAGTCTGGTTTCTTTGTATTTTTATAACTATCCAAGTTTGGTTTGGTCTGGTCTGATCTGGGACAAATTACAGTCCAAGTAAAAACATCCTAAGTCATTTTGGCTAATGTTATTTATTGACAAAGCTTTGAAACTCAAAGAGTATTTTTTACTAACTGAACTATGGTACTTCTGTAAAAAAAACTGAAGTATGGTACATATTCCTTCTTACCTTTTGGGTGTGCAATAGGTAATGAAACCACTATTGAGAGCAAAAGGCAAAGGATTCTCCGATGTACTTTACCTTGATTCAACTCATAACCGATATGTAGAGGAGGTGTCTTCATGTAACCTTTTCATGGTCAAGGTATGTATGGCATCATTAATACTATTGCCCTTAAACATTTTCGCCGATTGCACTTTAAGAATAGAAATTCTAATTTACGTTTATATGCATAAATATTTATAAATTTGTAAAAAAATATTTTGAAAATTTATGTTTTGGATTTCGCAATATAAATATGCAATCCTCGGCCTGCATAATAAGTAGTACATTTCTGGCTCCACCACGGATTACTTGACTCTTATTGACCAACCAGCCCAAGCTGAGGTTGTCTGACCTTAGCACGAGTATGAAATTAGAATTGAATAATGTGACCAACATTTTGTATAGGGGGACGTTGTTTTGACTCCACCAGCAGGTGTGACAATCCTTTCGGGTATTACAAGAAAAAGTATAATTGATATTGCACGAGATTTAGGGTACAAGGTTGAAGAAAGAGTGGTGGATGTTGAGGAATTATGCAATGCTGATGAAGCATTTTGCACTGGAACTGCAGTCGGTATTGCTCCAGTTGGAAGCATTACTTACAAAGAGAAAAGGTACAAAAACATATATTCATACATTTTAAGTACACATTATATTCAAAGAAAAAGTAATTAAACTTGATTTAAGATGGAGTTTTTCCTATAATGATATTCAAACAATCATCACTGCATTTTTTCCAGCATTTTTTTGGAAAAATATAAGTCATTATTTCATTTAAGATTTCTTATATGTATCGAGTCACATTATATTGCGGCTAATAAATTGGTACATAATAAACAGGATTCTGTACAAATTAGGATCGGGAACAGTGGGGCAGAAACTAGCTTCAACACTCTTAGAGATACAAAGAGGTGAAATTGCAGATAAGATGGAATGGGTTGTGGAGGTTGAGAAACCAAACTGATGATGCATTTATGTATAGTTGCTCTGAACTTTTAATTTGTTTGGGCTATGTATCTTAATACTGTATGTAAAAGTATTCAAACTTGAAGTATATTACACATATACTTCTCCCGGATGTTGAAAAAGTATTATACATATGTGATCAAAATAAATAATAAAATCTCTCTTCCTTTCAATGTTTTTTCAATTTTGTGGAACTTTTTCCTCTAAATTGTCAAACGTTATATCTGGGACTAAAACTGTACTTAGCATTGTGGGGACAAATTATCAAAAACATACTCTGTATCAAATATGGAAATAAGAGAAAACTCATTAACATCAGGAGTTGCATTTCTGCACTAGCGCAACAGCGCCACATTGTATGTAATGCAATAAGGAAAGCAAAGCAAACCAGTCTTTCCAATAATGTTGTTAGTTTTAATTTCTCATTGAGTCCTACATTGGTCTAATTGATAAAGGATATATTATTTGGACAAGGGAAAACTAAGGTCCAAGCCTAATCCGAAGTGATATGCTTAAACCAACCATAATAATTAATTGAATAGTGGAAAAGTATTACTAAAATGTTACTCAATATTTCCAATGAACGAACTTTAAACCAAAACATGGAAGTTCATATGAGGCAGGGTTGGCGAATAGGAAATTATATGTGCAACAATGATCAGAAGATAAACTAAAGATTATACAGGTCAGTGTGTAACATTTTCTTTTTTGTTATAATGTACAAATAGTTGTCTTCTTTTCCTCAGCTAATTCAACCTTCCTTTCTCCTTCTGTACATTTTGCAGCAGCTGTTTGGACTCCTCTTCCACAAACACATGAACAACATTAACACTCACTACTCGTTAGGCAAATCCTCTACAATCTCTAACTGTGTGTGCTCATTCCAAGATCCCGGAAGTTGACCAGGTTTTATTGCAGCTAGCATGAAAAAAGGTATATTAATCTGGCTGAATTTTGATGGGAAATCGCTCAGGATATTAGGAATGTGTTTTGGTTTTCATTTATAGGACCACATTTTGATTACTCTTTTGTAGAAATAAAAAATGTTAAATGATGATTGATAATGTTAAGCTATGACTTTCTAAATTCTAATTGATGATATGTAGTTATTGTTGAATCAGAGTAGATAGTTATTCTAGAGTTATTGTAAAGATGAAATAACAAAATACTGAATTGAACTATAAACTCGGGCCAAACTCGAGCCGCAATTGAGTCAAGCGTAGGGCTTAATTCCTCTTAGCTCGTGGCTCGCGAGTCATAACATACACAAATAAATTGAATGAGGATAATTTGAATCCAGCCCGAGCTGAAACTGAATTGAGCTCGAGCTCGAGTTCAAGCATGCCCAAGTTCGAACTCAGCTCGGCTTGTTTGCGCTCTCTAATTGGGAGTGAATGAGTGATATAGCCTTACAAGGGGCAAAACTGTCAAAAATAACTTTACATTTTAATATTCATGAATATAGAATCGATGTCAAAACCAAATAGCTTTCTATTTTTACAGAGTACTTTTTTAGGAGTCATTATCATATATTCCTGAAAAAAGAAATACTTTGTATAAAAGTAGTCCTTTTAAGGAAATTTGACAGCACGGGAAGGAGTTTTCCCACTTTTGACCGGAGATTCCTAAGAGGGTAATGTCTATTTTGGGAGTGAACGTTGTTGTATTCGTGGTAAAACTCATAAGATGATAAGAGCCAAGCAGTAAAAAGCTATTTATTCTGGTGGTAAGCAGACATAAACCAATTTTGCTGGCCAAACGGCCTCTAATACTAGTTCTTAGCGCCTTGGGACGAACCTGGATTAACATCGTCTTCTAATTCTTGAAGCATGTTTTTCTCTTTGGGATTCAGCGGTACAGGATTGCCTAGCGTTAGCGAAGTTCTTCTGAACTGACAATAAGCAGACGTCACCTTCTGATAGATCTCTTTCATCCGCCCGCTCTGTTCATCCGCCCTGTCCATTTCAACAAGCACCTGCGCGGGGTTGTTTCTGAACACCGGATGGAACCTCTGCCGGCAGTACTCATTGAAAAGCAGCGTGCAGATTATCAATGGAATGGTGAAGCCCGTTGCAACGGTCGACTTTTTCAGTCCAAACACTCCCAATGCTATTATCTGTGTCAGCACAACCGAGAACATTGTTGCCTTGTGCACAATGATCCAATAGCGTCCCCCCGTCTGGTATTTTGTCACGTATACATTCAAAATCTGAGATTTTCAAATTCATTTTTTCCATATTGTCAAATGATGGAATATACAATGATCATAGGGGTATATGTGAGGGTAAAATGCATCTTTTTGACATCCTGAAAATGGACTGGATGACATACCTGATTGCGGTACACAATGTATGCAAGGGAGAAGTAGACCAGCAATGGGGGCAAAATCAGAGGGGCAAGAATGGAACAGGTGTACCCCAGAAGCCCCAGGAGGAGGACCCTTGGGAATTCAGTGTGATAAGGAAATGTCATTGTTCCATAAGTTGATTCATCTTTGTTCCACAGAACAAACCTATAGAAAAGGTTGCAAAGAATCCCAAACGGTTGCATGAGCTCACAGAACAGACTGGCCCACCCCGAAGTCAAAACATAAGTTATGAAAAAAGTAGCCGTGGAAGGCACTGCCCTGGCAAGGAGGTTAGGAATGTCTTTTAAATTTTTACCCAGTTGATCGATCGCACTCCACCCATCAATGACTGACCCCGAAATCGTCTGCGCAAAGAACACATTCCAAACCATGAAGTACAAGATCTTAATGCACGCACTCTTCTTTCGCCCGCTTCGGGAAATGGAGCCTTCCATTGTGGAGAACAGCATCATTAATGGTGGGACGAGGTAAGAAAACAGTATTAAGACAACACTGGGTAGATATCCAGTCACGAGTTGAATTATGAACTTCCTCTTCAATGCGCCTCTCAGGAATGGAAATGTGTGTTGAAGCTTGTCGAGGTGGACGAGGCCTTGGGTTAGGGAAACCGGGACGAGGAAGAAGGCGACGAAAAAAATGGATGCCATTAGAATAATTATTTTACGGATCCAAAGAAGCCTATAAGGCACGCAAATGTTTGACCAGTACATGTCTCTTGGTTCTGGGGCAAGATCTGTCACCCATAACATTGGATTTGGAGATTTAATTCCCTGTGAAGCAACCAAAGCAGCATACCGTGTTCTGAAAAATACTAAAGCAGCTGCACATTCCTGCCAAAACAAATAAGCATTCATTTAATTAATTTCAGAACTCCATAGATAGTGTCATTTCACTTTTACACAACGCAACATTATAAGCAAGCGTATGTTGGTTGGTTTATCAACTCATGTTCCACTTGGGGAAACAAGGAGGCATCACCTAGAATAGATACAAGTGTTTTACTAACTTCATGAATATTATAAAGACGTTGTTTCATCGTCAAAATTAAATCTAGCTTGATATAATTACCTAAGATTACATGAGACCATTAGTAATAGTGATGGGAAGAAAAACAGGTCTTACCTGATCTCTCAAATTGGGACCATTTAAATCCCTCCTTTCTTTATCGATTTCTGAATCGGTAGAAAGAACCTTGAAAGATGCTGACTTTCCTCCACAGATTCCACACCTCAAGAGACTAGGTCCATGCTGTCCAGGTTTTAGCATCCTATACACTTTTTCTGCATCAGTCTGTGTATATGCACAGGATTAACTATCAAGAACTCACAAAAAAAAATTAAAAAGAAAACGAAAAAAGGTCTATCAGCTATATGAACTAACCACCAGTTTCTGAACAACACCAGACCGGTATACGATTTGGTGAGACAAATAACTTGATGCATAATAATCTGTGAAGAATTTTGCAACCATCTCACTGTATGCTTCTTCTTCAGACCATGGGACCCCACGAACCAGAACGGTGAAATAACTTGGATTGGAAATAGATGATTTAATGTATGCCAACCTCATCCTCGTGATATACTTGTATTCCTAAGATGAATAAAAAGAGCACCACATCTTTAATAATGGCCATGAGACAGAGACTGCTACACAGTTTGGGTGTTTTTTGGGCGTAACTGGAAAGAAATACAGAGATTATAACTTACAAAGTAAAGAAGAATGCAAGTAGAGCAGGTAATGATGTACAATGCAAGACAATGTGCCCAAAGCCTGACAAGTAAAATTAAAGATGAACAAAAGAAAAGTAAGAAACATTTATTTATAACACAGAAATGTATATCAAGGGTAAATGAAAATGAAATGAAAATGAAATGAAATGGATATCAAGGGGTAAAGAAACATAGTGTTATGTATATTTTGTTACCACTTAGACCCTTCCTTGACATTCTCAATGGTGAAAATCTCCAATGACTCCCCGGGAGTCAGCTTGTGCTTTACTTCCTGTCCTAAATAGTTTAGTGGCAGCACAAGGAAAAGGCACACTATAGCAGCAATGGAGAATATCCGGATACTGTACATACATGTAAATACAGTTAAGTATGTCTCTGACATTATAAAGTTATATCTGGCATTATAAAGTGTTCAATATGTATCTCAAGATTGACATATACACTATGTCCGGTAGCCAAATCTAGCTTATTCTACTCATTAGTAGAATATCAGAATTAATAGGTTTTGGCTTACTTAGAACCCATTTAGTGAAGGTTGCTTGATTGAAATGACTCAATAAATCTATTTTGTAAGAATAGACGTGCTAGGAAAATTTCATTTCAGCCACAAATGAGCAAACATAAATCCTACTTATAGGACCCCTTTGGTGACAGCCGAAGTGATTGAATTGGCTAAATTGGTTGAATTTATTGAATTAAATAATTTAAAAGTGAATGAAATTTTGGTTAAAATAATTAAGAATGTGTAGTAATATTAAGGAGGTGTTGATTTTTGTTGTACTTTGCAAAACAAGTAAAGGTGGATAGAATTGTCATTCAATTAAAAAAGTCGACTTTTGGGAGAACATTTTAGAGCCCGTTTGGTAGCACCAAAATCGGCTGTTTTGGCTGATTCTGCTGAAATTTATGAAGTTCTGGCTGAAGTGGCTGCGTTGGCTGATTTTGCTGATTTAAGAAAAAAATGTTTTTAAAATATATTTTATTAATAAAATAAAGACAAACTATATCTAGAAATAGCTAAAATGGTCATCTACAGTAACTTCAGCCAATACAGCCAGAAAAGTAACTTCAACCTTACTTTTTCTGCTTATTACACAACTCAGCGCGCGAAAGCAAAAGTTGCGTGTTTGGTGAAAAAGCTGGCTGATAAGCCTGATAAGTCGAAAAACAATGTTTCCAAACGGCCTCTATTGGTGTCATTTTTCAATCTTTTAAGACTGATGAGCCCATTTGGGCATAACATACAGGCTCTTATTCTCATTATTGTGCCTGCTTTTCTGATATCAATGCACCCAAACATGTAGGCTTATTTGACTAAAATGGATTTTATAAAACGCTTTCAATTTTGGAGTACTAGCAGATTCTGCCAAATTAATCTTACCAAAAAAGTTCCTTATCTAACATCCACCTAGTCTAGAATATTAAAGGCTATTTTAGGCAATAAAAAGAACTGAAAATTTTGATTCATTAACCTTTAAAACAATGTGAAGTCACCTGAAAACCATAGTACGATCAAAGACAAGAGCATCTAACCCTCCAACAGCATGCATTTCTTCATCAGAGGTCTCCCAAGCCTTGAGAATCCAACTAGGAGAAGGAACAAACCGTTCAAAACAGAAGGGATCATGCCGTTTAAGATGGACATGTGAAAGCTTCTGTCCGAAGTAGACATTTACTAGACTTGGTTGCTTCCTTAAAACTGAGTACAGAAAGAAGCAAGCGACGCAGACTGCTGTATTTATTCCAGCAGAAGTCAGCAGTGCAGATAAAATCATCTCTACTAAAAAATGTGCAGTTAGTAATCTTATGAAAACTCATTTGCGAAAGCATCCATTAAAAGTCTTGAATGCCTCCTTTGATCAGCTCAGATGGCAAACATATCCCAAAGTAACTCCAACAGTCCAGAAACTGCAAAAAAAAAAAACATACAAATACATCAAAATAAAACCTTAATGTGCAATAGCAAATCACAAAATTTGATAACAGAGATTGGAGAAGCATTTAAGTTTTCCTTTGAGAAGGTTCATTCACTGATCGTCATTAGTATTTTTTTAATAGCATCAAACCTCACATCACATTACTCATTAGCAGGAGGGAGACACCAAATTGCATTCAGTTTGTCTCACAGAACACAAAATTCAGTGAAAGTGGAGATATCAAATCTCCATTTAATTAAATATTAGCAACTATAAATTACAATTGACACAACTTGGATATGAGAATATGTTGGAATTACATTTATTTGATGTCTTCCCAAATTGACGGAGCAAGGGGTTTGGACTTTTCGTCCATTGCCATGGTTGAATGAATTAGAGTATAGAAAATATATGAACACGAATGTGCTTTCTAGTCCGCTGCTACCGATGAGAAGAAGGATAAGGCAATTCGGTTTTATTACGGGGTTTGCTTTTCCCCGAACAGATTTGCCGATTCGATCAGGAAACCAAAAAATGGAAGATTTTTTTAATGTTGGAGATTCGTCGTTGTTTCAGACCGAAGAAAGGAAAATTTTGATATTAGCTTCCAATATGCAGAGAAGAAACAATGGAGGATGAACACTTTTTTGGATTTGTCGTTGGCGATCGAGGGCACATTGGCAGTTAAAAAAGAAGTTGTTTTCTTTTTAAAATGTCAACCGCCGAATGGAGAATAACAGTATTCACTTTTTTTAGTTCGGGCATCCGGTTCATAATTTGTACTCCCTCCGTCCCTAAATGTTGTTCCATTTGCGGATTACGAGGTTGACCGACGATAAAGTTAAATGATCCCTGCGAAAACTCGGATTATTTTTAGTAAATAAAATTTACATATTCAGAAACTACATTAAACCCGCTACAAAGCCTGCAAAAAATAATTCAACTTTTATAAAATTTTGATATAAAAAGTAAGAGATTAAGAGTGATTTAAGTTGACCAATGAATAGTAAAATGGAACTTCTTTCAGGGACAGAGGTAGTATAAAACAAATTCTCTTTGCGCTCTTGGATGAATAAGACAAATTACAATACTCTTTTGTACTATGCCAATACAAAATCAAACGATTATTTAAGCAATAATAAAATATTCTAATTTGAGTATATTCTAACTATGATGTTACTCCCTCCGTCCTATTTATATTGTCCCGGAAGAGGATGACACGGTTATTAAGAAAAGTGGGTTTGTGTGGTTGATATTAATTGATAAAGTAAGAATAAAGTAAGAATGATTTAGAGCCACACAAACTTTGCCAAATATGGTATGAGACAATATAAGTGGGACTTCCCGAAAAGGTAAAACGGGACAAAATAAATGGGACGGAGGGAGTATATATGTATAATTTAAACATGAATAAAATTGTTATGATTAAATTGTTATTTAAGCGTGTTGATTGTTTCCCAAAATAGAAAACAAGAACATTTAGCATGACGTTCAAAAATAAAAAGTGAGAACCTTTGAATGTGACATATGAAATATTACGGAGTACATCCAAATTTTTTACTTTATAGAGTCCATTTTCGGTGAGTTTTAAATTATGTTTTTCACTCTTATTTAATTATTCTTCTATTCTGCTAAGATGGTCTCATCTCTCTTCGATTCGTTCATTGTCATATACCAAATTTGATAAAATTTGTTACTCCCTCCGTCCTGCTAAGATTGTCTCATTTTATCTTTTTTGGAAGTCTCACTAAGATTGTCTTATACCAAATTTGATAAAGTTTGTGTGACTCTAAATCTTTCTTATTTTATTTTTACTTTTTCAATTCAATATCAACCACATAAACTCATTTTTCTTAATAATTGTGCTACATTCTTCCGACCCAATGTTAGTGGGACGTAGTACATTCTTAGTTCATTCTTATTAAATCAATTCATATCAATCACATTAATTCATTCTTTTAATAATCACACCACCACACCATCTTAGCATCACACCATCTTAGCATGTGTCAATGTTAGGGTGTTTAGAACTCATTCTGTTTCTGCTTATTTTTTAAAGCAGAAGCACAATCAATTTTAAAAGGCTGGTATCCCTCAACTTCTAAAAAAAACTGATTCTAAGAGTACATTAGAGCATTATAATCACTTCTGCACTCTCAACCAAACACTCCGACTTCTGCTTCTGCTCCCTGAAAGGGCAGAAGCAATTTTAAGAATCAGGTCCAAACACCTCTAATAGATACCATATTGTTTCTTTAACATATGACGAACCTATAATTTCAGATAATAAAAAGAAATTAAATAAGAATGAAGCAGATGGATAACGTACAATTCATTAAAGCTCACCCATGTTTTTATCAAAATTTGTGTAGCTAGCTAATTTTAAACTTTTTACCGAAAAAAAAAACAATTTTAAACTACGGAGCAAATGAGATCTTAAGGTTTTTCCTAGGGAGATTTCATTCTTTATATTTATAGCTTGTATTTGTGCTAGAGGAATATTTAGCAATCATTGCATCACATGATATAGATTTGCATTCCATTTTATATGTTTTTCGGTGTAATAATTTCATCCAAAATATGTACCCAATAATGAGCAATTGCGCATCTGAGCAAAATTCAAAATTTAAAAACATGCTTTCAATGCAACATTGGTGTTAAAAAATGAAGAAAATCAAACATTCGATTCTTCATATTAATATGTAATGTTGTTTAGCAAAATTCAAATGAAAAAATTCCACTTTTGATCTCATGACTATTATGTCACTTCCACATTTTCCCCTTGACTTCCAACTTAACCACATTTAGTCCGTGACCTTTTCTCCTTCACCACTCGTCGTCCTTCCGACCACAACTCCGGCACTTTTTAACCGGAAAGTCATTTACGGAGAAATATTAGGGGCATTTTAGTAAATGTAGGTTGTTAAAACGATTACCTTTTAAATTAACTTGACTTAATATGTACATTTTGATAACTTAACTTTAACATTTTGACCTAATATTTCCCCGTAAATGACTTTCCGATTAAAATGTACCGGAGTTGTGGTCGGAAGGACGACGGGTGGTGAAGGGGAAAAAGTCACGGACTAAATGTGGTTAAATTGAAAGTCAATGGAGTAATGTAGAAGTGGCATAATAGTCATTGGACCAAAATGGAATTTTTTCAAATTCAAATTTTAAAACATGCTTTTATTGCAATTTAGCGTTAAAAAGTGAAGAAATTCAAACATTGGATTCCTCATATTAATACTTAATGTTATTTATTTGATTTTTGAAAATGTGATCTAATATGTTACGTTATAACTGTAAACCCAATTCTTAGAGTCCATTTGGTAGCATGAAAATCGGCTGATTTGGCTGATTCTGCTGAAATTTATGAAGTTCTGCTTGAAATAGCTGTATTGGTTGATTCTGCTGATTTAAGAAAAAAAATATTTAAAATTATATAAAAATAGCTAAAATGGTCATCTACAGCAAATTCAGTCAATACAGTCGGAAAAGTAACTTCAACCTTACTTTTTCTGCTTATTACACAATTCAACGCGCGAAAGCAAAAATTACGTATTTGGTGAAAAAGTTGACTGATAAGCTTGATAAGCCGAAAAACAGTGTTATCAAACGGCCCGTTGATGTTTAATAAGCTACCGCGTATCTTCTTGCTTTAAAAACGGCAAGAATCATTCTTACAAAATGTTGTAAAATTGATAGACTAGTTGTAGCACATTGAATAGTAAGTTTATGAATAGTATAAAATTATTCATGTTACAATTTTTAAAAAATGGAGGAGAAAAGGCGTAGGACCCATACTCCCATGCAAAATACGGAGTAGTAGATTAAGGGTATATTTGACACAAGTATCTGAAAAGATACTTTTATGAGCTTTTTAGTAACTGATAGTTTTTAATGACTGAAAAGATCTTAAAAGAAAAATGTGGTAGTTGTTTGTTAAAAAGATGACTATAAAATTGAGTTATGTTTCTGATAAGTCCGTATTTAGACACGCATTTGATGTGTGTTGTGATCGGCTTTTGATGATTTTCCTATCTTTAAGGTGTTACAAGTCTCAATTTTAGCTCAAGTTATGTTTACCGGGCGTTGGTTCGAGTTTTGTGTTGTTTGTAGTCAAAATCAGGGGATTTGAGCCCGGTACCGGCACTTGAGGAACAATCAGGATGATTTGAGAAGAATTTGAGAATCATTTGATAGCTTTGGAGGTCACCGGAAGATTCACGATGAAGATTTGAAGGAAAAAGAGATCTAGGATTGGCTACGGGGTCAAAAGAAGATGAATGAAGCTTGAAAACGACGATCAGGATGACCTTCTGTCAATCGTTCAAGCATATCTCTTTGTAGAAACATCCAATGTACATGATTCAAGTTCCATATGAAAGCTAACTTCAAGGGCTACAAAGAATATGAAGACACCTTTGCGAGAATCTGAGAGGAAGAAGGTGAAAACAGACGATGAAGTCAGATGATCTCTGCTGCGATTTCAGAATGATACCTTCCACCGTTTTGATCATATCTCTTGATTGGATGATTCAAATCATATTCGGCAAATTGGGTGGATGCAGTGTCTGGGGGCAATATGCGGGGCGGGAGTGGTGAAAGGGTTCATGAAGGGGCCGTACGAGCTCAACAAAGGCGGCGCGAACATGTTGAGCTCGGGTTACAGCAAGGGCGCTGGGCTCGGCGCGGAGATCGTCGGCACTTTTGTCCTGGTCTACACCGTCTTCTCCGCCACCGATGCTAAGAGAAACGCGAGGGACTCCCATGTTCCGATATTGGCGCCACTTCCAATAGGATTTGCAGTGTTCTTGGTTCATTTGGCAACCATCCCGATCACCGGAACAGGCATAAACCCAGCCCGAAGCCTTGGAGCAGCCATCATCTATAACAAGGCCGAGGCTTGGGATGACCACTGGATCTTTTGGGTCGGACCCTTCATTGGAGCTTCCCTTGCTGCTCTCTACCACCAGATCGTTATCCGAGCCGTTTCTTTCAAGACCAGGGCTTGATGAATCAAATATCTCAAGTACCACTTGAGTTGCTCTTTTTTCTTACCCTTTTTTGGGAAGGTATGTAATGTACTCTTATGATGTTGAATGTGGATGTATTTTTCTGTTTTATGTTCTCAGTTGTGTAAATTACTACACCTTATTTTGTATGGACTTATATTTCTTGCTCAAAAAAAAAAAAATTGGGTATATAGAGGACTTAATTATATACAACTTTCATGAAGGAAGTTTGGTCAAATTCGGAAGTTAAGTAGGCATGATCGTGCCCTCAAAGTCAGGCACGATCGTGCTTGAAGAGAAAAGCACCGCGGAGCTACTGCCAGCCAGGCACGATCGTGCCTGGAGGGAGGCACATTACGGAGAGGCTTAGGGACGAATTTAACACCGTTTTTACGCTATTTTCTTCCAAGACCCTGAGATTAAGAGAGATCTAATTTGTTCTAGGACACATACACACACACTTAATCGTTCGCTAAGAGATTAGTAGCGATTAAGGGCCTGTAAGCTCGCTCGTCTTGGCAATAATTTAGGATCCTGTCGCATGAGAGATCAGAAAAGGTCCCCTAAATTATTGTACTCTACGCCGCGAGAGCGGTAAGAACTTAGTAATGATTAGATAGGCTCAATTAAATTAATTTCATGTAATTAGGCCTGATCTGCCAGAAATCTGGTTAGCCCGGAATCGATCCCTATTCCCTTCGTCATTAATTAGAAAGAACCCCCTAGTTTAATTGTTCGCATTAGTTTTATTTTCCAAACCAACCAATCTCGCACGACGCTTTTATTTTATTTTCTTTTTAATCGCTGAATTTAATTAATTCTTGATTCCCTTTTGTCCGTCCCTGTGGAGACGATACTCGTACTTACACCACTATATTACGATCTATTTTAAGTGCGAGAAAACTCACATCAGTTTTTGGCGCCGTTGCCGGGGACGGTGTCGGTTTTAAGGGTTAATTAATTTCAGCGAGATTTTTTTAGTTAGTTTTCTTTTTGTTTTCCGTAGGATTTTTCTGTGCTAACCTTTCAGGTATTTTTCTAAGAGGCATGAGATGAACCTATTCAGCCAAATTCCTGGAGGAATTCCTTACCCTCAAACCTCAATGGAATATTCACCATATACGCCATCCCTCCTTACACTCCTCCTCCTCCTCCTCCTCAATATTACTCACTTCATCAAAATTATTCTCCAACACCACAAAAGTTTCCATCTTCCTATTCTTATTACCCTCTTCCAAATACGCAAAACTCCCAATCTCATTCTCCTAATCAGTATCCTTATCCACAATATCCTCGGACAAAACCAGGCTCCATTATGGAATTCCTCATTCGAACTAAAAGTCCTGAGGAATTAGTTGATTGCTTTCCTAAAAATAGCATTTGTTCCTACTGTGGAGGTGGTCATCATTCATGTCTTTGCCCCATTCCTTCATATGACCATCCTTACTGCATACCCCACTTCTTCCTCCCCACAATTTACGGACACAAATGTTTCAGCCACTCCTACATACTTCCCGAGTAATGAGCCTCATAATCAACAAGAGGATCTAGAGGAGGCAGATTTAAAGAGGCTTTCTTACTTGGAAGAGGGAATCATGCAACTCACAGCCAGAATGCAGAATTTCAGTAATCACTTGGATCAGCTGTTTAACGCCCTATCTGAGGAGTCTGAGAGATCCCATCCTAGCGACACAAAAGCCCAACATGAGGAGACCAATAGGGATGATCATGTGAGTGAGTCGGACTGCGAAGGTGGGAATATGATGGATGATACACTTCCTGATGTTTTTGAAGACCCTCCTATGTTTGAAGATGAAGAAGAAGATAATAGTGTCAAGTTGTTTTTCCAAGAATACAGGAAAAAGTTTGAAACGATACAGGCTGTAACTGATGAAGTCACAAATCATTGTGATTTTCTTAAAGAAACCCCCCAACCGTTTGATTTATCATTAGTCTCAACACCTGACGAGGGCGAGAAGAAGATCAGTCATGACGCTAATGCAGCTACTGAGGTAGGTTTGGGTATTGAAGATGAGTTGGGAATAGATTATTACAAGCTCCAAGAGAGTGGGGGTGAGACAGATGATGTTCATAATGAAGACGTCCCGCTCCACAAGCAAGAATTCCCTTCTTGTACACATGCACCGGTCCACTCTTACGTGGTTTCAGATTTGGATTTCTTTGATCCATTCCTTGGTGATGATATTTCTTTGTGTGTGGAGAATGATCACAACTGCTTGGAGGATATTAATAAGAAGAGTGACAAAATGAATTGGGATGCATTCATGGGGAGTGATACAGAGTCTGGAGGAGAGGTTGTGAATGTTCATGATATTTGTGGAGAAGAAAAAGACTTTTCTATGGTGCACTTCGATCACGGTGTTGCTCCTAATCTTTGCTTTGAGACATCTTTTGAGCTTCCGGTGATACCTAGAGTAATCAAAGTTCTCACTCATGTTCTCTATCCACCTGAAGAGGATGAGAGTTTCATACTTCACTTCTGTGCTGATGAGGGTTATGAAGACCATGTGCTACCTACGTTTACTAGAGAATTTAAAGGTCTGCGCCACTTAATGGCATTTGTTGAAAGGAAGCTGGAAACGTTGATTGTTAGTGCTCCACAAGCAAAGTTCACACTTAACGTTGATTGTTAGTGCTCCACAAGAAATCAAATACTAGGTATTTGAAAAACTATACCTAGTATTAAATACTCCCTCCGTCCCCTTTTAAATGTCCCGTTTTACCATATTGGAATGTCCCTATTTAAATATCTCATACCTTATTTGGAAAAGTTTGTGTGGCTCAAAATCATTCTTACTTTATTCTTACTTTATCAATTAATATCAACCACACAAACCCACTTTTCTTAAAACTCGTGCCACCCTCCTCCAGGACATTTATAAGGGGACGGAGGGGGTAGCATTTTGGAGAAACTATGTAACTTTTAGCAAGAATTAGCCACAACAGTAAAATGGAACTACTTCAAACAATCAACTTTTTATCAAACAACTACAACAATTTTTTAAAAATATTTTCAATCACTAAAAGAGTTAAAGCTAACGGTTACTAAAATGTACACAAAGATACCTTTTAGACTATTGTATCAAACATACTCGTAACTTGCTTACATCCTAGTGTTTGTCTATTTAAGTCTCCAAAAGTTCCTAGCTACTCCCTCCGTCCCGCTATGATTGTCCCATTTTACCATTCCGGTCCGTCCCACTAAGATTGTCACATGCCTTATTTGGTGAAGTTTGTGTGGTTCTAAATCATTCCTACTTTATTCTTACTTTATCAATTCAATATCAACCACATAAACCCACTTTTATTAATAACCGTGCCACTTTCTCTTGTCCCAAACTTAGGGGGACGGAGGTAGTATATGTTTGGCATAATTAATTTTAAAGATTTCAAAACTTTTTATGAGCTACACTGTGTAGCTTATAGTAAAAAGTATTTACTTTTAGCTTTACTTTATCACAATAACTTGTTATATCAAAGGAGATTAAATTGAACAATCAGCTTTTATTAAAACTATTACATTTTTCTTTAGTAATATTTTCAATCCCTAACTTTTATCAATTACATAAAAAAAAAATTCATCTAATTGTGTGAAGCATACAATAGAAAGTCACCGCAACGTAACTATGGCACAACGGCGGAACCAAGATGTAATACGAGTAGTGTCAAAGTAATATAACAATGAATAGTCAAAATTCTCTTTATCCATTTTTTGACTTATCAGTCAACTTTTTCACCAGCATGTAATTTTTAATTTCACATGTTTAATTATGTAGTATTCAAAATAAGTAAGAATTAAGTTACTTTTATAACTGAATTGACCAAAACCACGGTAGAGAACAACTTTAGCTAGTTTTCATTAAAAAAATCTTTATTTTATTAATAAAATACTATCGTATATTTTAAATATAATTCATTCGCACTTTAGCATTACCAATCAATCCAGTCACTTGATTCACATAAATTTTATTAAAATTAGTTGATTGACCCAATTTGAGTATTACCATACATACTCTAAAACTATAAATAATGTATATTCGAAAATAGAAGTATCGTTTCACTTCCTAATTAAATATCAATATCACACAAAACATGGGGGATATATTTTATACATAATTTTTTACCCAGGGGGTCTGGGGGAGCCTGGAGTAATATGGGTTTTTTCACTCCATTGAGTTTCAACACCCTATGTGCCTAGCGGATTTTGAACTCGAGACTTCTCACTAGGCACGGTAACCTCGCAACCAGCCAGACTGGAATGCTTGGTTGGATATATTGTATATATTATATAAAAAATAGTTGTGTCATTTTTTTTTCAATCTTTATAAACATCTATAGACAATAAATATAGGGAGTATATTTTTTGAGTAGTTCATTTGACTCCATAAGCTAACACTTGCTTATTGGGAGAAGGGCAAAAAATGACACTAACGTTTTTAATGAATCTCAGATTGGACACTATAGTTTTTAGTAGACCAAATAAACACCGATTTGAACTTATGCGTTGATTATAGGCCACCCACTAACACTCCCGTTAAACAGCCGTCTTCTCCTTCGATTAAAAGCACAACCCAGTTCGCATTCCTAACTCCCTAAGTCATTCTCCATGGACTACAAGTGTGAGCAGCGTGAACTTCCTACCCATCTTCTTCAAAGCCAATGCAACATTAAGCATCATTACCTGGAATGGATCAACAAAAAAATACCAGAATAATGAAATATCATTATACCAACAATCCATCCACCATACTACACGAACAATAATTGACAGGGTAGTATCGATACTCACCAATCTGAGTTTGGGTTTTCTGTGGGGGAATCCCATTGCTCTCCCAGACCCAATAGACACATTGAGCTTAGCTATGGAAGGCTCAAACTTCAATCAAATTCACCAAGTTCTTTCAAGAACTCCAAATCCCTAGACCCAACATCATTTTTCTTTGAGAAATTTTCTGATTTGTTCACAAATCAACCAAGTAACATTCTCGAGTAACAAAATGAAATAGAAAAACAGCCCCACAATACAAATATTCTCATCAAAGCGGACATAAAAAATTCCATTTTTCCAACTTGTAAAAGTTAGCACCTTTGCCTCCTTTAAACCCAAACTTGTAAAAGCACTACCTTTAAACTCAAACTCAATATTACAACAAAGAGAAAAAAGAACTACAATTGGTGGTGATTTATTCTGGTATGGCAGTAGCTTGTAGAAAATGGCAGTACCTCTTTCTTTATCGAGCCCATTCTTCACCACCACCGGAGCTTTCTCGACCAGCTCATTTGCTTCCTTTAAACCCAAACTTGTAAAATCTCTTATCTTCTTAATGACCTTGTTCTTAGCCGCTGTGTCGAACTTCTCCAGCTTTAATTTAGATCAAACATGGTCTTCTCTGCAGCCTTGGTTTCAGCCGCCGTGGCCCAACGGAGCCAGATGAGGTCAAGCAGAACACTGCGGGTGAGGTCCAGAAGCTTGTCGTCGACGATATTATTGGTGTGCGGTTAGGGGAGAGGTCGGGAGGAGTCTCATGGCGAGAGGAATGGATGGGGATTTTAAGACCCTAGTATCCAATTAGGGTTTATATATTGGGGGTGGTGGTGTTTAATCGCAGGGAAAGGGGGCTTCATAACGGGAAACGGATGTTAGGACGGAAAAGTTAGTGGGTGGTTTAAAATCACGATAAAAGTTAGATTTTGTGTTTATTTGGTCCTCCAAAAACCTGAATGTCTTATACGAGATTCATTAAAAACGTTAGTGTCATTTTTGACCCTTCTCGCCTTGCTTATTCCCTGCTATGGGCGCCTATGTCGTTTTTTGGAGCAACGGTCGTGCTAAGAAGTGTTACTCATACCCATTTACTTGTTAGCAGAGAAGTCAATTAAGATTTGAAACTTACTATTCTTAACCATATCTAAGGGGGTGTATTCAATATAGATTGTTGTGGACTTTTTTTTAATCCATGGACTTTTAAAAAAGTCAATGGACTTTTAAATCCATAGACTTTTTTATGAATGAATTCTATGGACTTTTAAATTCATGGATAAGTTTATTGACTTTCAAAAAGTCCATAGACTTTTAAATGCGGACCGCCACTGCTGGTCGTCAAAATTTTAACCTAGATTGTTACTATCGATATGCATGTGACCTGTCCGCCTCCATCACGGAGTTCCCCGCTGTGATGACTGACGCGTCACCAACAAAATGGCTTTGGGTGTGAAAGGGAGCTAGGGACAATTAATTATATTAATTAATTAATTAATTAAATTAGGGGTGAATATATAACATTTACACAAATGTTCCTGTTAGGTATACCTGACAGGAACCGCCGTCCGGCCTCCTCCTTTTGGGGGTCTTCCCGGTGGTATTTTTTGCTCAAAATTTTTGTGTATGTTCCTCATCAAGTCTAGATCATCCATACCAAATTTCAGCAAAATACTCAATCGGGAAGGTCGTCAAATGATTTTTGCAAGTTAATTGGTCCGGAATATGGTATGTATTTTCCAAATTTCAAACTTGCTATTCTTAACCATATCTCAAACCTATCTCCACATTCAGAGTTACTCCCTCCATCCCCAAATTATCTTCATTCTTTCCTTGTCGGTCCATTCCAAATTTATCTCCTCTTTCTCTTTTTGACAAACAATTTGTGGTTCACAACCATTCTTACACATTTCTCTCTCCTCTGCACAACTCTCCATTAGTGCTGGACTCGGGCCGGGCGGCCCGTCCCGGAACCGGCCCGGCCCGGTTACTGTTTGGCCCGGCCCGGCCCGGGGCCCGGTGGGTCCACCGGTTCGGTTCGGCCCGGCTGCTGGGCGGTTCGGGCCCGGGCCCAGGTTTTGGTGAACCGGCCCGGCCGGTTCGGGCCCGGTCCGGGCCGGATTTTAATTTTTTTTTTTTTGAAAGTTTTTTAAGTTTTAGGTTGGATTAGGTATTTTGGGCCATTTGAGGTGGTTTGGGATGGTTTGGGGTTGAGGGGGAGGGGTAGGGGATTAAATAGGAGAACAAAAAAAAAAATTAAGTGGGCCGGTTCGGCCCGGCCCGGCCCGGCCCGGTTTGGCCCGGAACCAGGACCGGAACCGGCCACCGGCGGTTCGGGCTCGGGCCTCCCTTTCCTGGCCCGAGGCCCGGCCGGGCCCAGGCCCGAACCGGGCCCGAACCGGCCCGAGTCCAGCACTACTCTCCACTACACATTTTACACTATCTTAATCCCCGTGCCCAGTCAAAACCGAAGTTAATATATGACAGACTATGAAATTTTGCCCTTGATAAATATCGAGGAGAATGTTGAAAGTAGTTTGATATAAAGGTGATTACAATTTGCTGCACAATAAATGATTTTCTAACACACTTTATAGACTATGGTAACTCACAAACAATCATTTTTTCATTTAGCCAATAAGGCGGGAGAAAATGGAGGGGCAGGGGCGAGGAAAAGTGTGTCAAAGATACAACAATCTGCAAACAACTCATTTAGCAGGAGGAGCTCTGTAATAAGCTGGAACTGTTGCGGGGAAGAACATCTGTCTTACTCCTTCCGCCTTTATAATCGGGAAAATAATGCCAGATGCACCTGAAATCAATCTTGCCCCCATCCACATGCGTTTTGGTGAGGGGAAAGGAAGCAGCAAACGGCCAACTCCATATATTGCAACTGCAAAGAAATGGCAAACCAGACTCAACGGTCGGGGGTTCAAACCAGATAACAAAGCCACAGGGCCTGTCGAGCAAACCCCTCCCAGGCTCAAATAGTCAAAGCATGCCTGGCGCATCTCTTTCCTTGCTTGGTCGGGTGAAGCACAGAACACTTTATAAAGTGCACCTGCAAGTGTATTTATGGTAGATGCCACCGGCTGCAAATAAACAAATACAATAGCAACTAGGTCAAGACCCAAATCCCAACACTCCAAATAGCATTCTATTTTCAGTTCCTACAAAAGAAACAACAATATCAAGCAATGGTGATGGTTTTACCTTACGCAAGGTGTAAAAGGATTCCAAATAGTTGGAGAGTGAGGGTGCATCATGGAGATCATACAATGGTTTGAGTAGGTTACGTAATACAACTATATCCGACAAGGCCACAGTCATTCCTCCACCAGTTAGGGGATGGCGCATGTTGAACGCATCACCCATAAGTAAAGCCCCAGGTGTAGGCAGGGGAGCAGCAGGCATGCTTTTGTTTTGCATCGTACGTATATTGCCCTTATCAACAGCAGCTATGAATGCATCATACAGCTCGGGAGGAACCTGAATGAGACCAGATTGTTGCTAATTTAGGATACAGGTTCAGCATTAGAACATTAGTTTAACACTTACAAAACAATTACCTGAGGAGCAACAACATTCTTCAAATAATTGGCCATTTCACCATTGGAAATGGATGGAACCTTTTGACCGGGAACATCTACAAGGCAGCGGATCTCAGTACTGCTTATCGGATAAAACAAGATGGGCGATGGATCTCCTAGTATAACATGTCCATGGTTATCATATGGAAGTTGGCAGTTCTCCAAGATTAAACCAACAAAACAAGAAGGCACATCTACCTACACAAAGAAGCAATGACAAGGATGTTAAAGTTTTTATCCATATATGTGTGCTAATAGAACATTGAATATGTGTGCTAAATGCTAACTCAGTAAAGTTGATGATTATTTTGGAATTACTGAATTACTCTATAAAAGAAGAAATATAAATTTTGTTGTAAGATTTTAAACTAAAGAGTAAAAACAACTGTTTACTGATTTTTACAATCTTGGTATTTAGTTCAAGAAAAAAGAACTGGAATTTCAAAATGAATATGCCCTGAGGTGCTGCATTTCTACCTTGGGGCTGCAAAGTGACCGTCTCAAATTTGAAAAACAACCATCACACACGATAGTCAACGGTGCATGGGCTTTCAACACTTCACCAGATTTACACTTATACTGCACTCCTTTAATAGTTCCCTTCTCTTCAAGCAATGATGTCACTGTTCCTTCCTCTAATTTGACACTGGGAAGTAGAGCAATAAAAGTTAAGTAATAACATTTGTCAGTTAATTAAGGAACACGCCATCATTCGAAAATTTGCAGGACATAAAATCTAGTGGCACATTGTAGGCGTCTAAATAAACAACTAAAGCAGTCAAGTGATCACCCAAAAATTCTACCCATCTGCAGCTAACAGTAATCCGTAATGAAACATTGAACAACTATCAGGGATGGTAAAATACAAAGAGAGATCCATAAGAAACCTTTTGAACATATAAAATAGAGTACACATTCTACTCATCTGCAGCTAACTGTAATCCGTAATGAAACATAGAACTGTAATAACTAACATAGCAGATGGGAATTATACTTGGGAAGAGAAGCAGCTTTCTCCCTCATTCTTTGAATGAAACGTCCATTGTGAAAGCTTCTTCCAGAAACATCTGACTGAAATTTCTCCAAAGGATACGAAAGCCGAGTGTTCTTCCCATCTTTAAAAAGCGCATACCCAAATACTCTTTGTGCATCAATGTTTTCCACACAATCTGAGCAACAAAGTTGAAACGTTGTACAGTTAAAAATCACTACATAATACGGAGTAGTACTTCCCAGTAAAGAACTAAACACTATAAGTAATACTCCCTCCGTCAATATTAACTCGGTTGAACTCGTACCTTCCAGCCCTAACTCAAGCAACTTGAGGTAACCACCTGGTTGCAACAGTTCTCCAACAATTCGGTCTGGCTCTGTCAAGTCTCTTTCAATCACATGAACCCTCCTACCATCCTGCAATTCAAACCATATTACGGAGTAGAAGATTTAGAAATGTTATTACTTCCACTCTGATATGAAAGGTACCAATAAGAAGCAGTCCTATTACGTAAGAGTATTGAAAGATAACAAATTGGGTGCAATTAGAGCCATATAAGAAGAGTTAGACATAATTTTATTTGCCCCCTTCATCTGGCAAACAGTCAAATTTTTCCGGAAGTCAGATGCACCTAATATGGCTCCAATTGACTGCCTGCAGCACCCCCTATCAACTAAGAATATTTAGAAAGTACAGATTAGGAATCCTGCAAAGAGTAAAAAACAATTGACTTTATTCAATTTTCAAATTGTCTTTCAAGACCAAATTCCGAACTTTATCATCATCCGATCAATATAGATTAGTTCTAGAGGAATACATGCGTCGCTCATCACCTACCGTCTGTATACACACATACGTAGTCGGAAAATTAAAAAAAAAATCAAATAAATAGCCCAAAAGAATCCGCACCTTGCCGAGGGTATGAGCCAGAGCGGCACCGGCAACACCAGCACCGACAATAATGACGTCGGCATCTCTGTGACCGTCATTTCTTGATCTGCATTCGCTGTCGACAATGCTCGTTGTGTTAACATCGCCCCTTTCAATCCTACCGCCGCTTCTCTTTAAGAGCAAGTTATAAACCGCCACAAGCCCGAAAATAGCGGCGAGAACCGTACCGGCGAGATACTGATCCACCATTTTCCGGACTGTGCCGAACAATACAGCGAGAACGTTCTTTTTCTCCCACTTCCTCTTCGCTTCTCTGTCGCAAAAGATAAAACGGGGGAGAAATTTGCGGAGCGTATGATTTATATGCTCCACTCTCTATTTCTGGCGGTGGCGCAGCGCTGGCGCACGGCGTTTTGTTGTGAAGTTGTGGTTGGAGTGGACGCAACTGTGCCTTCGGTGGAGATTGTTCGTGTCAGCTTTCTAACCTTTTATTTCGCTGATTCGGCTATATGTACATACGCGTTGCATACAACCTCATATGTGACGTTGGACACATATATATTCACACTCGGTAACGTTTTTGCTTTTGCTTTTGCACTTGTAAGGCACAATTTTAAATGAATGGGAAACTGTGGTGGAGAGTTTCTTAGGTTTGAGGATTAGAGTGAGGTTGGATGTGAGGAAGTCCTTAAAGAAGGGCTTTACTCTTTCGAGAAGAGGTGTGGAGAACTGGGTGGATTTTAAATACGAAAAGTTACCTAACTTTTGTTTCATTTGTGTGGTGATTGGACACTTTGAGAAATTTTGTCCCTTGAAATATGAGGATGATATAGTTTTGGAATAAACTTTTGGGGTTAAGCTTCGAGCAGGTGGGGGGGGGACTAGCCTGAGTAGGGGTAATAAGTGGCTAGTGAAAAAAACAGACAGGTCCAAGGCAACAAAGAGGCCTTTTCAAGAAGGTAAAGGCACTGAGGGACAGGGACGAAGAGCGGCTACAACTGGTGCAAAAAATAGTGGTACTAAGGAAGAAGGGAATGGAAGCGTTGGGGAAGTATCAGTTGATCAGAAACGCAGAAGAATATGAGAGGAACAGACAAAGGAGGACACAACGGGAGAGGAGATGGCGTTGGATAAAGCAAAAAACGGGAGAGGAGATGGCGTTGTTTACCCGCTTTATACTGTCTTGGAGCGCAAAAATTTATGGATTTATCTTGCTAACTTAGGATGCCGGTTCACCGAACCTTGGATTGTTGTGGGTGATTTTAACTGTGTCTGTGCCCCAAGTGAGAGGTTGGGGTCTACCCCTCCCTCGGCATACATGATGCAAGACCTATGTGATTTTAAAGTAGTAGCTAACCTCGAGGATGCCCCATCCACGGGGGAATTCTTCACATGGAATAGGGGCTCCTTATGGGCCAAGCTTGACAGAGTGCTTTTAAATGATGTTTGGGGACATAAAGGAATTGTGTGTAAGGCCCATTTCTGTGAAATGGAGGTTGAGTTTGATCATACGGCTTCCGTATCTTCTATACTCTTAAATTCCTCTTTAAGGCTGAAACCCTTTAAATTTTTTAATATGTGGATTAAACACAAGAACTTTGCTAACATAGTGTTGCAGAACTGGAATGTTTTTGTTGATGGTACAGCTCAATATGTGTTTGTTAAGAAGCTTAAGGCGTTGAAAGCACCCTTAAAGAAGCTTAATGAAGTGGAGTTTGGGCATATCTCAACAAGAGCAAAACTTGCAAAGGAGGAGTTCAAAAGATTGAACAAACTGATGATGGCTTCACCGATGGATGAGGAACTCCAACAGCAATTGATACTGGCTAGGAAAAAGGCGATGTTTTTGGGAGAGGCCGAGACATGCTTTTTTCAACAACGGGCCAAAGCTACGCACATTCTTGAAGCAGATAAAGGCACGCGTTATTTCCATGCTATTGTGAAGAGGAATGCGGCCCGGAATGCTATATCCTCGGTCACGCGGGAAGATGGCACTATTACTAAGTCTTTAGATGATGTTGGTGATGTATTTGTTAATTTTTTTGTTGATTTGTTTGGATCTCATGTGGATAACCTTGACCTAGACCACTCGGTTTTAGGTACTGGTCCTCTGATTGAGCCAGCTGCTCATGATGGCCTTCTTGCTCCAATAACGGATAAGGAAATTAAAGTTGCCTTGTTTGATATCGGGGATGATAAGGCACCCGGACCTGATGGGTTCTCCTCGGCTTTTTTTAAAGCCAACTGGAGTTTAGTGGGGAATGACATGATTCGGGCTATTAAGGAGTTTTTTCGAATGGGAAAATTGCTTAAACAGATCAACCATACTGTGATAGCACTTATCCCTAAGACTAGTCACTCCCCAAAAGCCTCGGATTATCGACCCATTTCTTGTACAAATGTTTTGTACAAGGTTATTACCAAAATTATTGCGGCCAGACTGACCCTGTGCCTTCCAGGGTTGATTAATCAAGCACAGGGAGCGTTTGTGAATGGCCGCCTAATGTTTGATAACATTTTCCTGGCCCAGGAACTTGTTAGAGGATACAACAGGAAGCGGATCTCACCACGTTGTATGATTATGGTGGATCTGCGAAAGGCCTATGACACCATATCTTGGGATTTCCTCCGAAATGTCTTGGTGGGTTTGGGCTTCCCGAATAGATTTATAGGATGGATCATGGAGTGTGTATCCACTCCCTCATATTCGGTCTCCTTGAATGGTTCTTTGTATGGTTTTTTTAATGGTAAGCGTGGCATACGGCAAGGGGATCCAATGTCCCCCCTGCTTTTCGTGCTTTGCCTTGAATATTTCTCCCGGTTACTCACTTTGAGAACCAAAGAAGGGAGTTTTAATTTCCACCCCCAATGCGCGTCACTTGGTATTACACACCTAGCCTATGCGGATGATCTAATGCTTTTCTCAAGAGGTGACACATATTCTATACGAATATTAGTCAATGCTCTCAAAGAGTTTGGGGATGTATCTGGGCTAAGGGTAAACCATGCCAAATCCAACATTTTTGTTGGTGGGGTGAGGGACTTGGAATTGCAAAATATCTTGGACCTTGTAGACTATGGGCAAGGTACTTTCCCGGTTCGATACCTTGGGATTCCCCTTGCCCCCTTAAAGGTCTCGGTTGCACAATATGCACCATTGATTTCCATAATTCAAGGTTTCCTTAACACTTGGAACACAAAGACAATATCCTATGCCGGGAAGATTGAGCTAATTCGATCGGTAATCCAAGGGGTTCAATCGTTTTGGCTCCAAGTCTTTCCGGTTCCCCAAACAATTTTGGATAGGATTGTGTCCATTTGTAGGATTTTTTTGTGGGGTGGGAAATTCGCCAAAGTTGCGTGGGATGATATTTGTTTACCAAAACCGGAAGGTGGGCTAGGGATCCATAATGCAAAAATTTGGAATCACGCCCTCCTCTCACGAGTTATTTGGGACGTGCATAATAAAAAGGACACCTTATGGGTAAAGTGGGTTAACGGTGTCTATCTTAAGGGTAGAAGTGTGTGGGATTTTATCCCACACAACCGAGACTCTCAGCTCATGAAGCGGATGAGTCTCATTCGGGACAAACTGAAAGGGTGCTTTAATAATCTGAATGACACCATCTTGGGCCTCAATTCGAGGGCCATCAATGGGAAATTAATCTCGGCCAAGGTGTATGAGCTATTAAGGATTAAGGGTGAAACTAGGACTACAATGAGCTTCATTTGGAAGTCCTATATCCCCCCGAAATTCTCATTCAATGTATGGTTGGCCCTACGAAACCGGCTTCCTACTCAGGATAGCCTCGCTTATCTGCATATTGTGAATAGATGTGACCTATGCAAGGGTGATTTGGAAACAATACCACACTTGTTCTTTCAATGCCCTTTTACATGTAGGGTATGGCAACGAGTTAGAGACTGGATGGGACTTAGCCACCAAATGACTACGCTAGCGAGCTCAGTCAAGTGGGTACTAAAGACGCACAAGGGCTCGAAGCTGAAGGGCAAAGCGGCGAGATTGGCATTCTGTGCCTCGGTATACTACATTTGGAGAGCAAGGAATGAGGCTAGGTTTGATGAAGTGACGAAGAACGAGGAAGACATCGTTGCTAAGATCAAGATTGTGGTTTATAGGATACTCTTTAGTATCTATCCACAAGAGTTGATCATGTTCTGAGGTGAAGGCCGTGACATGGATATAATGGATGCCGCGGTATAGATAGACTGCTACATGAATGTTTGGAGCGCCGAGCCGTGGTTATCCTGGATGCCGCGGCTAGGGCACTCAGGACACCGCAGCATGGACATCATGGATGACGCGACATGGAGCATGGTCTTGGATTTTAGGGTGTGTGCATCTTGCAACACCTTTGTACTTTGTTTTGATTTTTAGCCTCTGTATGTGTGCTTGTGCAGCACCCGATGTATTTTTGTTTGAACCTCTTGATGGGTCAGGTTGTATACCTGGTTATTTTGGCATAGAATAGATTGAATAAAAATCTCCTTTCACCCTCACTTTATGTGGGGGTAGGGGAGGTTTTAGGATATCTACGATATGTGATGTATAGTTTTTCTGGGTGTTAATATATATTTACATTTCATCCAAAAAAAAAAAAAAAAAAAAACGGGGGGGGGGGGGGGGTCCGAATTCTTAGACCCGCCGGTCATACGAGTGATGTTGTTGAAGAAGATAAACTTTGTCTTTTATTTTATTGTTGTTTTGCATTTTAATTTCCACGTTGAGACTATTGTTTTTGGTTTTTATTTGGTTCTGTAAGACTTTTGCATTAGGATTGGGTGATGATAGTTCTGCGGTAACCGTCATTGTCTCAAATATGCCCATTTTAGGATCAACGAGTTATATTGTTTTGTCAAAGGTGATTAACTCAGAGTCTGGACCAAGGACAGATGGTTACTTGTGATGCTTTTGTTATTTTAACTCCTATCTGAATGCTTTAATTTTAATTTAAGCCTCCTTCTTCCAAAAATAAAAAAAAATTATTTTTTTATGAAACTAATTAATTAATTACTTCGTATATATGTATGTAACACAAGCATGTGTTTGTTTTTTGTTGATTAACTTTTTAGAATGCTTTTTTGTTTGTTAATAGTAATTTGCTTCTCAACCATTGTTACTCAATTCCTTCAACAACAAAAAACATTTGGCCATGCATCTGAAATATATATATATATATATATATATATATATATATATATATATATATATATATATATATATATATATATATATATATATAGAGGAATGTTCATGTCAGGCCGGCCTGACGGGCTGCCCCGTCCGGCCGAGCCCGTTTGGGCACCTTCCCGGTGGAATTTTTTGATGAAATTTTTTGAGCATGTTCCTCATCAAGTCTAGTTTGTCCATACCAAATTTCAGCTCAAAATTCGATCGGGAAGGTCGTCAAATGATTTTTGCAAGTTAACTGGTCCGGAATATGTATTTTCCGGACCAGTTAACTTGCAAAAATCATTTGACGACCTTCCCGATCGAATTTTGAGCTGAAATTTGGTATGGACAAACTAGACTTGATGAAGAACATGCTCAAAAAATTTCATCAAAAAATTCCACCGGGAAGGTGCCCAAACGGGCTCGGCCGGACGGGGCAGCCCGTCAGGCCGGCCTGACATGAAGAGCACTCTATATATATATATATATATATATATATATATATATATATATATATATATATATATATATATATATATATATATATATATATTTCAGTTATTTCTATCACCTCCAGGCTCCAACACAGCAAATGCACTCAAACAAGCATTTACCATTTAGCTGAATTTTGATATTACAAAAGACTAATTTTCCTCCCACCTCTCCTTTAGCAAACAAGCATCGTACACTACGAATTAATTTTGCGTTACTCCATTTTCCCATCTCTCCTTAGGCCTTTTTGCAACCAAACAATAGGTGCAAGAAATTTTTTTTACGCTAACCATTTGGCCATGCATTGATTGGCTGATTGCATTCAGGCATTCATTTATTAAAAATGTGACTTAAATTAATATCACTGTACATTAACTCTTCTTCATCAACAGGGACAGCTATGGAGGGAGTTACCCTATGCAAGGTGCCTAGGGCCTCCTCCTCTAAAGGGCCTCATTTTTAGTAATGTTTTTATAAAAATAATAAAATTAATAAATAAATAAATAAATAGTAATGAGTCTAATGACATAAAATTGTATTCAAACTAATTGTATTTAAACTAAGTGATTTATAATGCTAAAATTTTTATAGACATGTGAAAAGTTCTACTGATTAATTTATGTTCTTATATTATTAAATTTATCTTAAGTTATGCTAAAAAGTTTAGAGAATTTACTTTTATATTTTTCTTAAATGATACTGCATTCTTTCCTTTCTGTTCAGCCAAATTTGATTTTGTAAGTGAATGATGTTAAACTTTGACCAATTATATAATTTTTTGTTGTATTGATAATATGAAAATGATATGAAGATGTCCTTTATTAAAAATATTATCATAAAAGTAGGGGTGGGCGCGGTCCGGTCCGGTCCAATATTTGGTCGAACACGTACCCGTACTGTTACTATTCAAACGGTTCGGTTCGGTTCGGTTCGGTCTTAGACCTAATCCCGTTCGGTACGGTTTCATTTTGAAACGGGACGGTACCATACCATACCAATACCAAACAATGCCACTTTTTTCAAGCTCTTAAGAGGAAATTAAAGTTTATTCATCCTTCAAAAATCGACACAATTTATCAAATTTCATACTCATTTTATCCCAAATTGACATGCAAAGTCATTAATTTTTTTGTCAACCATGTTAAAGTTAAATTCTCTTTATTGATAATTGTTTTATTTTTTAATAATTAAAATAAACATATTCAGAAACTACATTGAAATCTCTTCAAGGTTGCAAGCTCCAAATTAAATATAATTAAAAAGTGACATTCTAGTTAAGTGAATAAAATGAAACTGTTTGACCAAGAAAAGTTAATTTTGCAAATCAATTTGGGATGAATGTAGTATTTTACATAATTAATAAATTTTAGATAAATTATAGCAGTACAAATATAAATAATTAAACCATACATCGGTCCGATTCCAGACATCCTATGGATTAGCAAAGACGGTGAAAGTGTGAAGACAATAGTCAAAGTAATGGTATAATTGTAAATTTAAATCATTGAATCATACTTCGGTCCGGTTCGGTCCGGTACCGGTTCTCATTTTATGAGAACCGGTCATGGCATTGTTTAGAATCGGTACGGTTCGGTTCGGGACAAAAAAATTGAGATCCGTTTCATACCTCGTTTTTCGGTCCGGTACCATATCGGTTCGGTTCGGTACCATGCCGGTTCGGTATTTTTGCCCACCCCTACATAAAAGTATAGATTTATTAGGATATGTGAAATTTATACATTTTACACTTTATGAAATTAATTTTTACATTGAAACATTTGTTTTGAAAGTAAATTTTGTTTGGATTGATAGAATATATAATAACATTTATACAATTATTTTGTTTATTGTTTTTATTTATAGAATTTTTGCAATGCTCTTGCCTAGCCGTCTAGGGCCTGAATTTTCTGAGGCCGCCTCTGTTCATCAATTGCAATTGATCAACCATTATGATGGCTTTCAAGTTTCAACTATTAAGAAAAAATGCATCGAATTTAATATACATAGAATGGGTTCCAACTAAATGAATTGATGAGCTCTAAGCCTTAACATGAAACTCCGAAGCATTATAAGTCTATTTCCTTTTAAATACTACTGACTTTTAAATGAAGTGATATCAACCGGTTGTTAGTTTCAAAATAGTCAAAATACGATACGATTTCAATGAAATGCCATACAGCCCACTTCATAAGTTCGTACGGATATATCTTTAGTTATTTATTCCTTTTTGCCAGTATTATCTTCAAATTTCCTTTTCCGTTCATTCCAAAACAAACACATCTTTTCTTTTGACAAAAACAAAATTGTGAGTTACAACATTTCATGCACATTTTTACTTTTTCTGCAAAACTGTCCAAATGCAAAACTTTATTTAGAAGATAATTCAAAAAGTGTGGAAGTAATAAAAAGTTTGGATAAATATGGTTTGATATTGGTTCAGCAATTCAGCAACTACTTGAATTCAAACCGTCAAGCCGAGTCGAGGGTCACACCTGGCCCTGAGCCTGCGGGGGTGCTCGATATGGATGCGGTCAGGGATGGCAAGACCATGAGGCTGAGGCTCGATCTCTTGGCATATTCTGGTACAGTCTAGCTACATCCTTTTTTTGATAGAAAATAATTTAATGCAAAGATTTGGCCGCATCCTCCGCCAATAGGGCAGTACGTACATGTTACTTGTCATGGTCAAAGCATGGCAGAAGGGAAGTCCGAAGGAATGGTGAAACAGACACATAAGTGACTCCTAGCCAATGAGGGTCTACACCAAGCATCAATAGCGATTGTGTCAGACCGGTCCGGCAGGATTCATCGTCTGGAATTTTTTGAACATATTCTTCGTCATGTCTAATTTATACCTACTAAATTTTAGCTCTGAATTCAGTTGAGCAAACAGTTAAATAAATTGTTTAAAAACATTGCGTTCTATCGAGAAGTGCTCCAAATGGCTCTGGCCGAACAACAGGTCCTGTCATGTGACTCATGCCAGCCTAATATGAACTGCCCTTCATCTAGCAGTATACCAAAAGAACTAAATAAATATGAAGTTATTAAAAGCTCACACTTTTCAATCAGTCGTGCCAAACATTCTCATAGTGTTTGATAAATAAGTGTTTTTGTGTAATAAAAAAGTGAAAAATAATTTAAAACACTTATTTATATGCTTCCAACTTTAACGTCTAAGTGCTTAACATAAGGAGCACCAGATCATTTCAACTTTTTTCTAAACCAAAAATTGAAAATCTTTTTTAGAAATTGTTTTGAGTAGGAGTAAAAATGTTTTAAAATTCCAAAAAGAACCTCCATGTTTTTATTCTCTAAATTAAAGTAATTTCTACCAAATTAGAAAAAAACTTGGTAAAAATTGTCATGTTTAAAACCTGATAATGTCAAACTTGACAAAAATTACTCATATTTAGGGAATTAAAACATTACAGTTATATTTTGAAATTTCAAAACATTTTTACTCCAGTTTAAAAAAAAATCCAAACATTTTTAAGTTCTATAACACATAGGAGTACACATGCTTCTAATTATAAATCATTGGTATTAAGCATTTAAGAAGAACATGATTATCATGCCCGTTTCAACAATGTGCAACTTCAGTCATTTCAGCAAGTTTTAGCCCTACAAACCAAAGTGAACGCTGAATTTTGCTTCTATACCCTACAGTAGTCATGGACCCGGTTCGGGCCGCCCGGCCCGCCACTGTGCGGGCCCGGACCGACCCGGTTCTCGGGTCCGGGTCCGGGTCGGGCCTAGGCCCGGTGGGGGGGCGGGTCCGGGCTCGGGCCTTGTATTTGGCGAACCGGCCCGGCCGGGTCGGGCCCGGGTCCGGGCCAAAAACTGTTTTTTTTTTTTTTTCATTTTTTGGGGCTTTATTGAGTTGGGCTTGATGTTTAGGACCAGTTTGGGGGGTTTGGGGGGGTGGGGGGGTGAGGGGGGGGGGGGGGGGGAAGAAAAGAAAAAAAAATAACCGGGTGGCCCGGCCCGGCCCGGAACCGGTGGCCACCGGTTCGGGCTCGGGCCCAACAAAACAGACCCGAGGCCCGGCCGGGCCTAGGCCCGAACCGGGCCCAAACCGGCCCGGGGCCATCCCTACCCTAGAGTAGTAATAACAACAAAAAATCAACAATCACATAAATATATGGAGTACATAATAATACTAAAGTTCCTCAAAAATGCAATAAAGCTTGACACATATACTAGAGAATAATTAATTATAAAGATTGAAACAGTGCCATTTCTTCTACTAAAATTCGAAGAATAAAAGAGTTAGGAGCTAAACAACTGCCTATACAGCTATGAAAATAATTATCTTTTGCTAATTTCTTGTCCATGTGAAGCAAATTAAACTCAGCAGTCTAAGCTGTAACTCAATGGTAGAAGTGATCATTTTAGTCCCTATGAATGGTCACCATTTGGTCCCCATATTGTTCATACAAGAATTAGAATCAAATCCCATCCGGAGAGTATTATGAACATCGTTTTCCCACACATTCTGCACATAACACCAGATCTAAATCAACAATCTTTATTCACACAAAAATCAACAATCCTTCACTCAAAGATATACAATATTTAACGCAAAGATAAAAGCGTACAATTTCTTAATGGCCCATTTGGTAATGTTTATTTAGTCAAAATGACTGCTTATTTGGCTGAAAACGTTTGGTAACATCAATTCAGCCATACAAGGGACTAATTAACTTGCAGGCTCGCCGCTTTGTACCGTTGTTTTTACTTTTTAGGCATATCAGCCAACACTATTTTTACTATGACTGAAGTACTATTTTAGCTTCTTTATTTCCCTATAATATTCAGTCTACTTAACTAATAAAATGTAATTTAAATACAACTATGGCAAATTTAGTCTCACCACATGGGCTCCAATAAAAATACTGCTTATTCTGCGTATAAGTAGAATACGCAAAAAAAAAAAAAAAACATATAAGGAGCTTAGACATATTCTACCAAATGGATCCTAATCTTTTACCTGCTGCAGTGTGTGAAATGGTGCTGTATTAGGGAGACTGCTATACGTTCCCGGTGGAATACCGCTGCCAGGGAAAGGATGTGATGAGTTGAATCCTTGACCAGGAGGTCCATGAAGAGCTCCGTTATTTATGCCATGCGTGTGAAGAATCTAAACAGAAGTCAATCGTTCTAATAATTAAGCTTCCCATATAATTTCTTTCTAAAAGTCATTTCATATGTATGTGTGTGTTAGTGTGTAGAACATCCCATTCAACTTACGTCCTTGGATAATACTCTTTCCATGTCAAGGTTCATCTCTGGATTCACAGTTGCAAGTTTCATTGACAGAAACTGGAAAATGAATGCAAGATCAGAGGTCATCATCAACTTAAAAAAAATAAAAGAATTGTGTCTGCATATTGCAGATGGATCAATTTAGTTAAATAAAATGTCTAACCTTAATAATACGGAATACTTATTTTGCATCTTTACTATTCCATTTGTCCGGACTAGAATTGAACAAAGCTTTGACATGTGATTTTGGGAACTAGGACTAAAATGTAACATATTTCTTCAATTATGAGTGCCACCGTTTTTTGTGAGTTAATCTATTTCGTATCTCTCAAAAAATAAGAATTATTGGCTACTTCTACTACCTATTTATGGACTAATGAATCTTATTTTAGGATATAATGAGGATACTTCTCTAAACGTGCATAAGACCCATGTTTACTCATATTTGCAATGACTTCTTTATACGGAGTAATTTGCAGAGGGAAACCCTAAACATATATGCATGTTTGTCATAATCGTACCCATATTCAGCGGCAAGACAGCATATGGACTTTAAGAAACAGGGGAGAGAGGTGTACTGTAGCACACTTTTTCAGCGCATTGACCTCATCACCATCACTTATTTTTCTTAAATGGCTGAAATATAATAAGATGATCTATTCTGTCTCCTTTTCTACATATATGTACTCCCTTGGGTTCTCAAACAAGTTCTCAAATTGATTTTTAAGATTTTTAAGAAAATTAAATTTTTTCTTTTGACTTTCCCATAATATCCTTACAAAAAGTAGATTAGGTTTAGTGGAGATAAAAGGTGGGTGTAAGGTAGCTAAACAAAGTAAAGGTATAAGGGTAACTTTATGATAAAAAAATATTTCCAAAAATAGAAATGAGAACTTTAATTTGGACTTTCTGAAAAAGGAAAGTGATATCTTGTTTGAGAACTGAAGGAAGTATCATTTTATCAAATTACTTCAAGAAAACATATTTTAGTTATATTTTAGGACAACTCGTTTGAGACATATGAACCGGACAACAACAATTTCACTCGCTTCCGCCTAAATGCATACAACAACGACAACAACATCTAAGCTTTAGTCGCAAAAGAGCTCGGGGTCGGCTAACATGAATCGACATATGAAATTGAAGTTAAAAGGGATAAAAAGATCAACTCTCCACATGTATACTCTCCACTCACTTCAGCCTAAAGGTCTAATTTACACTAAATCACTTTAGGCTGACAATAAACCTGATAATCAAAAGCAATAAGCCAATTGCTTCAGCATGCACTTGTAGATCTGAACTGAATAGAATGAAGCGGTTTTACATCTAACATTAGTAAAATATGGTGAAACAGTCGAGAACAAAAACGTACTACTTATAAATATTGTGCAAAAAAATTACTAAATATGTCACTTTTAGGATATCACTATCAACACCACCACCACTGCTATACTAAGAACTTTTTAGTATGACAATATGAACAACAACACCATCACTAGTAACACTATCCCGCGTGTCAATATGTCACTCCAATTAGCGAATACTTTTTAGTTTATCCAGCGACTTCTGCAGTCTTGCCGTTGAATTTTGCAGGAAAAAAACAGTAAGGTCAGAAGTTGGCAGCAGTAGCCATTGGGAAGTTGGTGGGTTACAGAAAAAAGATGGGGATAGATTTAGGCATTGAGATAATTTGGTGTCTTTTGGTTATGTTAAAAGTAGCCCTACGCAAAACATGTGTCAAAGGAATAGAACATGTTATGACTGTTTTACACATATGTGGATGATTCATATATGTCCAAAAGTTAGTCAACCTAATGTGTTATGCAAAAGATTGCTCTACAAGATGTCTGCCAAACAATATACCTCAACTTGTTGCTGGAGTGATTGCACATAGTTGATAATCTCATCAAGCATAACTGCCTTCCCAGTGATCTAACACATCAAAACCATTTTAGAAAAAAGAATATCAGCAGAGTAAATTGACCAAGATCTAAACCAAACAAGTGTAAAGTAAAACAACCTTATTACAGCCTGGGACTAGTTCTTGAAGCAGTCTCATTCTTTCACTAATTCTCTCCCTTCTCACCTGTCAACCATAAATATAAACTGAGCATCCAAAATGTACAAGTATATATGTATAACCAAATCCATTATAGGAGAATAAAGAAAGTGTGATTGATGGATTTACCCTTTCCGCAAGGCTGTGGCTGTTAGTAGCCTGCCCACGTTTAGCCCTAACATGCACATAATTTTCTTTGGGAGGTTCTCCACTGCTGGAATTATTATCCTTGATGACTTGTTTGCCCCCTTGCTTACTCCTCAAACTAGAATTATGTTCATCATGTTCTGAGCAGTCTCCTAAATGGTCTTTTGACTCAACATTCTGCAAAATTAATTAATTAAGTTAAGAAAACAATCTATCAGATATACACACAAGTACATAACAGATCTTATATTATAGATCCAAAAATTTATTATTATTATTGTTATTATTACTATTATTATTATTATTATTATTATTATTATTATTATTATTATTATTATTATTATACCTTACTGGCATTTGAAGGAGGGACACAATCTGATGGTCTTCTCTTCCTTGCATTAGGCAAAAGATCATAATTTAAGTGACAATCTGATAGGCCAGAAGAACCAGTGAAGCCCCCATTGCCGAAAGCTGGAACCTTGTGAACCATATCAAGGTGATTATCAAGCACACCTGGGTAATGCAAATTCTGGTTCACAATAGGGTCCCAAAATGGTAACGGGTCTATCCCAGTGGGTGGCCCATAAGTGGGTCGGAGCCCCATCTCACCATCATCTTCTGTATCCATTTCTCAAACAAAAAACCCCGGAAATTGCGGATTTCACTCCGTGCACCTTCAAAAGGGTAAAGTCCCAATCTTCTGCTGGGAAAATCAAGATCAAGGAACCATGTATATATTTAAGAAAAAGGTAAAATGGGTTTGACCAAAAAGAAAGACAGCTGGTAATACCTTGAGGACTCAACAAGGAACAAAGTAAATTGGCAGCTTTATTATCTAAGCTGATTATTATTATTATAGGGTGAATTAAAGAAATGGGAAAGGGGAAAATCCAATGCAACAGGCATAAAATCTAAGCTTGCGTAGGAGCTTCAAGAACCCTTGGATCTAGTCTAATCTCATGAAAGAAAAAAGTAAGAAACTTTCAAAGAGAACATAAAGTAGGCAACGAAGAAACGAAAAGGTTCAAGTAGTCACAGCTCACCAGATGAAGTAAAGAGAAAGCAGATTCCCTTTCTCTGGCGTTTTATACTATTATTATGATTATTATTATTAGGCGCAGCACAGGCCATGATTGCAATTTTCACGATTTTCAAAACACATCTTGATCCAAACGAGGCTTAGAATCTTGTTTGAATTGCACAGACAATGTGAGGATCACACCACCCTAAAGTCTGACCAAGAATAGCCAATAGATAGGTAAAAAAGAAGGTGCTTTTGCAGAAACATACCAATTCCTTTCTTGTAAAAGAAGGCTAGAATCAACACCCAGAAGGATCAAGATTGTGGTAGATAATGAGCTGGGGGACCTCAAAGCAGGCAGGGGCTTAAATTGGGGGGTCTGATGATGGTGGTGGTGGTGGACTGACTAGTAGCTAAAGCTCTGACCGTCGGTTTAAAATAAATTCCAGACGATTACCTCCGAATGAAGACAGACTAGCAGTAGAATATAAAAATTGGCATCTTTGAAGCCAACTGCTATTCTACCTTTAATCAATTACATCTATTTTTTAAATTAATTACAGAATAAATTTTACTTGCATGAGTAGCTCAAGTGTTACCCAATGAGCCAGTTTCATCTAATGTGATAAATTTTTGTACGCATAAAGTCTTAACTCTTTGTTTACTTTACTTAAAAAAAAAACACCTACATTTCCTTAAAAAAACCACCTACATTATTAAGACAGATGGATCAAACATTCAGACTGCTTAAAAATTCACTAACCAACTCAAACAGTTCTTAAAGCGGGGAGGATTTATGTACACACTATGATAGGTTGAAACCCAGAGTAACTTAGAAATTTTTCAATTTTTTAATATAATTTATTTTCATTTTTTACATTTAGCCCATCCATTTAATATATAAGCCTAATATAATCCTTATTCAGTCCCGGGCATCTCAGATTCCTGAATCCGCCCTTGACTTAAAGTGAGGTTATCTCCTCCCCGTCTGTCCTCGTTACACTTGCCCCTACCCTCTTCCTACTCTTATGGGTAAGGGTAGCATAAAGGTAGGGGAAGGGATAGGGATCAAGGGTAGAAAGTGGGTAGCATTTGGGGTGGGCTCCCACTATTATGTATATTTGTGTGATGAATATTTGTGTGTACATTTGTGTGTCAAAAAAATATACATTTAAATGTTACACGATGTGTTAAATATTATGAAATAAACATGAATTTATAGCACTACTCATTTTAGGGGTCGTTTAGTAACGGAAATATTAAAGAGTATCGTTTAGTAAATCCTTAGAAACTATTTATTCGATTTTAAATTTCTTCTTACCCACCTTCTACATTAATATTTCTTTCATTAATAAAACACTTGTTATTTTTTATTTTAAAAAAAATTTATTAATTTTTTATTATTTTTCTACGAATTATTGAAATTTTTTCGAATTTATTATGAATTAAACATTTAATTATGACTTTTAGCTATCTTTTAGGATGTTTTTACTTGGACTGTAATTTGTCCCAGACCAGACCAGTCCAGACCAGACCAGTTCAGACCAGACCAGACCAGACCAGACTTGGATAGTTATAAAAATACAAAGAAACCAGACCTTACCAGACCAGACCAGACCAGTTCAGACCAGACCAGACCAGATCAGACCAGACCAGACCAGCAAATTACAGTCCAAGTAAAAACATCCTTACTAATATTTAAAGGAGGGGTAAGAATGGAAGGAAGAAATGAGTATGTTTCCAATAGGACCACTATGGTCCTATTTTGGAATAAAAAACATAGCAAGTCCTATTTTGAGTTTTTGCCATAGTTTTAGTCCTATTTGAAGTAATTTCTATATATATTATTTTAGGATGTTTTCAAATAGACTGAACTTTTCTGATCTAGTATGATCTGGTCTGGTAAATATCTGGTTTCTGTTTATTATATAATTGTCCAAACTTAGTATGATCTGGCCTAACCTGGTGTGATCTGGTTTGATCTAGTCTGCTCAGAGTTTGAAAATAATCCAAGTATAAAAGCACACTTAATCCTATAAACCAATTATTGGAAAAGATGTTTTAGTATAAAAGGCAATACCCTATATATTGAGATATTACTTGATCACTTTATAGTCGCTTTAATTTATTCGCATAAACTTTAATAGTCAATGATTAAAAATATTATGTTAGAGCATCTTTAATGCAAAAACATGAACGGTTTGCATGTGATATGAGAGACAGGGCCGAACCTACACACGAGGCCAAGAGGCCGTTGCCTCAGGCCCACAATATTGGGAAAAAGTTAGGGCTCACAACTACTACATATATGACTTCAATATATATTCTATAATACGTATATACATAGTGTATTTATTAAAAAGGACATATGTTCAACTGTTGTGTTTTTAGTTGCCATTCTAGCTTGTACGTAGTGCGCCATTTTACTTGGAATTCTAGAAATTTCAAGTATCTTTTTACATCATTTCTAATTGAAATTTAGGGTAATTGGTACTTACCACGTATTATTTATTTATTATTCATTTAACTTATAATTTATAAGTTAAAGCATTCAATATTTACATAATTTCATACACTACGTATAGACTCCTTATTTTGAAAATTCAAAGGATAAATTTCGGGTTCAAATTCTAGCAACCGCGATGAGATATTATCGTGTAAAAATGCATAGGGTCTCTGCAAGTAGATGAGGCAGAGCCCCACTCACGACCAACCGACTTATGATTAAAGTTCATTTTACATCCTCACAGTTAACCGTTTGGCACGTGTTGGGGGCCCTAGGGGATGAGCTTAGAAGTTTAGTTCAATGCGCACACAAAGATTACATGGTTGGGATTATATATTTTCAGGCACACGTATTATATTTTTACCCCTCTTTTGAGTGACAATTTTGCCTCCAAAACATCATAAATGTTGAATTTTTATTATTTCATTCAATGATGATAGTAAACAAAATTCATTCAGTTTCTATTAACTTGTTCTAGAACATAAGTGTTCGCAAACAAATTTCCATTTATGTGTAAAAATTGAAGTCTTAGGATGTTTTTAATTGGATGATATTATCACATCTAACCCGGTTTTGTCTTTTTAAGCTTGCTATCATTGGAGACCGTAACTCACATCATGGTTTAAAAGCTAAAGTGGAAAATTTGTAAACCCAATTTTTCTATAACTTTTAAAAATACTATTCTCTTTTTGTGACTTTTAATTCAAACACAAAACGTCATATATAATTTAATTATATATTGGATACCTCCATTTCGTAATCTTAAGATTATTACCTCCATTTAATTATATCTTAAATACCTCCATTTTAAGTTAATGCTAATGTTTACTTTTTTGTTTATATGTGCAGTATGATTCAATTTACTTAAAAGTACTACTACATGCATGACAATGTTTATTTTTCTAATCTAATTAAATTTTAAGCATCTCCATTTGAGTTTAAACATTTACCTAAAAGAAACTATTCAATTCAATTAAAAGCTAAGTACATAACCTAAGTATCACTGGTGTTTTTTGAGACCCCGAAGGGGGCACTAGCCCCCTATGTTCCCATATCCTCCACTGTATATTATGATGTGTAAAGAGGAGCGGTCATAGATTAGGTAGGAACTCATGGAAAAAAGATGAGGATTTGGGGCATGTGAGTTTTTTTTTTATCATAAAAGTGAAGTATTGATATATTTGCTCAAATGAAATAAAATCATAATGTGCTACATGATAGACTTTGCTCAAGAGTCTTGTGAAACAAAAACAAAAGGTTTAAGCTGTTGCATCAATAAATGCTTTTCAGGTGCGCATTTTGCAAGGGGTCCATGACATCCCAAAAGCTTAGCATTGACACCATCATACAGAATGCGCCTTTCTTCTTGTAGTTCAGATAATCAGTACGGTTGAACTTTGTGAAACCCCATTTTCTGCTAACAATGATCTTTTGGCGACCAGGGAACTTAAACTTGGCACGACGTAAAGCCTTATGTGCATTTTGACTGTTGGAATCTTTGCAGGGAACGGACAGAAGAACCTGTTCAATGGCAATGTGGGCACAGACACCTTGCGGCTTGCCAAACGCCCCCCTCATTCCCGTTTGGAGCCTATCAGCCCCAGCACACGACAACATCTAATTAGTACGGAGAACATGGAAAGGGTGAACCTTAACCCTAAGGTGGAAGGCATCTTTTCCTGCGAACTTGGTCATGTACTTGTTGCAAGCAATTCGGGCAGCTTGAAGGGCCTCACTCGAGACATTCTCCTTCTCCCAGCTGACCAAATGCACGCAGAATGGGAACTCATCAACTCCCTTTTTCTTCATTCCCACATCATATATCCTAATCTTTGGGTCGGGCACACCACGGCAGTACCTTGACTTTGGGTATGGCTTGTTCTTAATCTAGCGGTAACACCTTGCTGGTCTTCTCCCCATTGGAACTTCTTCGCCAAATAGAATTGAATAAATAAGTGTAAAAATGCTTGGTGTACCTTTTGTATACTTTTGCTACATCACTACATCTTATATAAGGTTCTAAAAGTGACCTTTTTTAACGCCCTCTCTCACCTTCATTCTCTCTTTTGTATTTCTATTTTACCCTTCTATTCATAGTTCATCTCTCATGCATGGTCATTCATTGTTATGATAGACACAATTACACGTGCACATAGACACAATTACACGTGCATATTTATAAGCAATTCTATAAATCATTGTTAAATGAGCGATCATACGGATCGTACGACTCCCTAACCATGCTCAGCTCTTAGCGAATTGTCGGGTGTGTGTGAAAGTGTCTTGAACAATTTAAAACTCTCATAAACTATTATGTGATTGTTGTTCTAGCGGCCAATCCAGGTTATTAACGATAACAATTAAACTATTGAAACACATTAAACAAGAATCATGCAATTAATCATCAAGAATAGAAGCTTAGATCATAGAATGTCCTTTCACCAATATCAGTTCTCTAAATAAAACAATTCATTATTGAATGTACTGTAGAAATGTGAAATAGGAATTACATGACATTAATTGGATGATAGGAATTATAAATAAACATCGGAATTCAATTGATCCAAAGCTAAAAACAATGACGAAATCATCCTAGAGTTGTTTCTAAACTATGTAACCTAAAAACCAGTTTCTAAGCTATCTTTAGATGGGATGAATTCATAAGTACTGGATCCACTCTGGTCACACACGGTCCAACGATCTACCAGTGTTATCACATTCTTCTTGTGCGCCCATGGTGTCACACATGACGTGCACGTATATTGTTCAACCTTCTCAATGTGAAATATTCGATCCACCACAACTTGAATCATTTGATCTGAATCATCCAACTAAAAGATATGGTTGCAATGGTGAAAGGTGTTATCCTCAAATCTCAACAATGATTGTCTACTTTTCTCGACTAATTTCACTTTGATCCTCTCATATTTTCGTCATGGTGTCTTCATTAGATATGTAGCTTAAATGATTTCTCT